GAGGCCCAGCCCCGGAACCTACAGTGTGTCTTCGACGGGGCCCACACCCTGGGCTGCTCCTGGGAGGTCAGGTCCCCCGTGACCAGCTCCGTCTCCTTCGGCCTCTTCTACGCGTCCAGCCCCGAGGCACAGTGAGTGTCCGTCCCCTCTCCGTCCTTCCCTGCTCTGGCCTTGCCCTGGCCAGGCCTCCTCCTGTCCCTGGGGCATGGTGGACGCTGGGACTCAGGCCAGGTCTCAGCTGTCCCGTGGTCCCCCTGTGTCCCTCCCTGTCCCTGCCCTCAGGGAGGAGGAATGTGCCCCGGTGCTGAAGGAGGCGCTCAGCGGCCTGTACACCCGGCTCCGGTGCCAGATCCCGGTGCCCGACCCCGGGGCCCGCGGCCTGTACGTCGTCTCTGTCCGTCCGCGGAGCGAGGGGAGGTTCATCAAGAGCTCGGACAACAGTGAGTCGGCCCCGGCTCGTGGGGTGCCTGCCGGCTGGTCCTCCCTGTGAATGCAGTCACCCCACTGTGACCCTGGGCACGTGCACGGTACCCCTGCCCCGGCCTGCGGTTCTCCCTTGAGAGGGAGTGGGGTCCAGTGAGCAAAGTGATCAAAACATACCTGAAATCTTCATTTGAAATTCTTTGGAAATGCACTTGCTGCCCTTGGCCACGGGACCCTCCTCTGGATCCCAGGCCGCTGGTCTGAATGGCCCTGCTTCGTCCCCTGCCCTCTCAACATTTCCCGCAGTGTCCAGTGACTATTTCACAGCCTGCATGGCCCCCAAAGAACGTCCATCATCCCTCCTAGCTTGCTGTCCGCCTCTCGTCCCCCTCTCCAGTCGTCTCTATGCTTTTTATTTGTCAGTTAGAAACCCTGGGTTCTCCTGGTCCTCTCCTGCTCCTAAATGTCACCTCCTCTCCACCTGCAAATCCTGCCACCTCTGTCTTCCACGTACGCCCAGAATTGGTGCCTGTCACTGATCCTCGGTCGCCTCTGGGTAGGGCTCTGCTTGGTCCATCCGCAGATCCCTCCTGGTCCTGGCCCGCCGTGCCCATCCCCCTTCCTGCCTGTCCTACTGTGGCGACTTTCCCTCCAGCCGCCCTGTGACCCACCGCGTCTGTGCCCGTCCTCTGCCCAAGCTTCCCAGCACTCCTGCCACCCGGAGAGACGTCCCCAACAGTCTCTGGACCATCTCTTGCCCGCCCCAAGCCTGACTGTCCCCTGGCCCTGGTGGCGTCTTCCGCGTCCTCCTGAGCACTGGGTTCCCCTCAATTCCTCTGGGCCTTTGTTCCAGTGTCACCGTCTCTCTGCAGCCTCTGGGTCGTGTTTGCCATCTGCCCTGCCCACGCCTCCTGGCTCCGTCCTTAGCCACCTTGGCCTCCAGGGCTCTGACCGCCTCCTGCCATGTAGCCCACTTCTCTGTCCCGTTGGGCTCAGGGGCGTGGACACTCTGTCCTATTGACTGGGCTGCCTCCGAGCCTGGCGCAGGGCCAGAGCTCAGGACCACACGGCATCCTCGCCCACAGTGTCTGTCCGCTGTCTGTCCCTCTGTCTGTCCCTCTGTCTCCCCCACAAGCTCCTCTGTCCCGAGTCCCCACCCTGTACCTCCGGTCCCCGTGGACTTTCTGGGGATGGGGAGGGGGGAGGGCTTAGGAGCCCCCCCACCGTGGCCTTGGACGCGAAGCAGAAATAACACCATAACCACGTGGGTGGACGCGCTCATCACCGTGATTGTTCTTGGCCCTCTGTGCTTTGAAGACCTGAAAAGAGAGGAGCACCTCGTCCCCGCCCTGCAGGAGGCTGTCCCTGGGAATCCCTGCCCTCCCAAGATGAGCCTGTTGTGCCTGTCCCTGTAGGGCAGACCCTGTCCACTGCCCTTGGCCATGAAGATAAGGCAGGCCGAGCTGGGGGGAGGGGCGGGGCTGCAGCCTGTCCCCCTCCAGGCTTCCCAAAGTGCAGGTGCCTGTGGCTAGTGCTACTAGAAGGTCCCAGTCCACCCAGGCTACCTAGGTCTCAGGCTCGGAATGGCCACGCTTAGCTTCCTCAGTGACCACGGGATCCAGCAGGGCGGCCCCTGGCTGTGAAGACGGCAGGGAGCTTGCTCATCTCGCCAGGAGGGCTGCTCCGGCCACAGGAGACATTGACTCCTGAATTAGGGCAAAGACCCCCAAGAGGGGGGACCTGGGGGACCAGGCTGGTCCTGAGAGCATGGTGGCCACCAGGGGTCACAGGGAAGGTTCCACTGGACATGGGTGTCATGGCCACCTCTAAAATTCTCCCCCTCAGTCCAGATGGCGCGCCCGACTCTCAGTGTGACCAGAGATGGAAGCAGCTTCAGCCTGTGCTGGGGAGCGGAGCACAGTGACAAGATACAGCCAGTCTTCGAGGTC